CCTACAAACCCTGTTTTTCCCATCCCCAGATGCGCAGCACCCGCGGCGTGGCCGTGTGGCCGGTGGGGCTGGTGGGGGGTCTGCGTCTGGAGCGGCCGCTGGTTTCGGGGGGTCGCGTGGTGGGCTTCCACACGGGCTGGCGGCCGGAGCGCCCCTTCCCCCTGGACATGGCCGGCTTCGCCGTGGGGCTGCGGCTGCTGCTCGCCCACCCCCGAGCCCGATTCGACCCCCGCGCCGAGAGGGGATTCCTGGAGAGCTCCTTCCTTGGGGGGCTGGTGACCCCCGCCCAGCTGGAGCCACGGGCCGATAACTGCACCCAGGTGGGGATTTGGGGGGGTTTGGGGTGTCCTGGGGGGGTTTTGGGGTCCCTCAGGGAGTCCCAAAGGGATCTGGAGGGCGTTCATGGGGTCCTGGAGGATTTTGGGGTGTCCTGAGGAGGAATTTGGGGGGATTTTTTGGGGGGATTTTGGGGGCTGGAGACCCCCGCCGGGGAGGCGCCGCGGGCTGCACCCAGGTGACGGCTGGGGGGGGATTTGGGCTGATTTTGGGGTAATTCTGGGCAGATTTTGGGGTGCAGGTGCTGACGTGGCACACAGAATGATCCCTGGGTGATTTCGGGGTGGTTTTGGGGCGGTTTTGGGGCGTTTCGGGGGTGTTTTTGGGGTGATTTTGTAGCGGTTCCGGGGCGCGGGTGCCGATGCGGCAATCGGGGCGATTCGGGGCTGATTTTTGAGGTGATTTCAGGATGATTTTTGGGGCGATTCTGGGGCTGGCTTTCGGCTGCGGGCGCTGTTGTGGCCCGGGGGATGGCGTGGGGGTGACTTCAGGATGATTTTTGGGGTGATTCGGGGCTGATTTGGGGGCGCACACAGGTGCTGGTGTGGCACACGCGCACCGAGAAGCCGAAGCTGCGCCAGGAGGAGCAGCTGCAGCGCCAGGGCCGGGGCTCCGACCCCGACATTGAGGTTTAGGGGGGCCCCGGGACCCCCCCGGGACCCCCCCGGGACCCCCCCGGCCTCCGGGACCACCCCCAGACCTTTATTTATCGCCAGGACCCCCCCGTTTTTTGGGGGGACCCCTCCCCCGATCCCCTCCCCGCAATAAACGCTCCCTCCTCAGCCTCGTCTGTGTTTTGGGGGGGGGGGGC